CCAGCTTGGTGTCATCTGCAAATTTACTAAGAGTAGACTCAATCCTCTCATTCAGGTCATCAACAGAGATGTTGAATAGGACTGGGCCCAGTTCTAATCCTTGGGGGACACCACTGGTCACTGGACGCCAACTTGATGCAATTGTGTGATAAATGGTTTTTACCAAGAAGGAAATTAAGCCATTGGTGTACAACTACTGTCCCTCCAACTGTTTTCTCCAAAATACAGTGAAAACAGTTGCTTTGGTAGTGTCTTGCAAACTTGCTGCCTGTTTAATCACTGACAAAACTAGTCTAATCAAGGAAAACACATCTGCTTCTTTTAACAAAAAAAAAAAATAGTTTAACTATGGCAAGAAGTGAATTACTATGGAAGCAAAATGGTTTAGGTGTACCGTAAAAATCAAAAGCCTTAAGTGACCCATTGTAAGGGGACATCAATATAAATCCCTTCTCCTCCATATCAGACCTAAATCACTATCTGCTTTCTATACTCAAACATACAGACTTTGTGCTGCAGGACAAAAACAGAGACTAAGAGCATTAATCCTGGAAAAGCCATAGTGCTGCTCAGTTTCTTATAACCTTCATCTACCTGATCCTTTAACTTCTGGGAAATTTTCACAGGTGAGCAGAGGAAATTGAGCAAATTGGGTCTTACAGAAACTGTTCCCTTAAAACATTCAAAAGCATATGTCCCACCTGGCACCTCTGAAAGACAGCGGTGAACCACCAAGTACTCTGGATAATCACGTCCATGCATCTCTAGAATGAACTGACCCAGGCAAAGTCTTGCGTGCATCGTTGTGTTCTCAATAACAAAGCACACAGCATTTGGGTGTTAGCAGTTAAAGAAGTACAAGCTTAAGACACCACCTACATGAGGTATTTAGATCATCCTTCTATGAATCATTTAATTGAATATAAGCTAGTGCCTATCCATATAGAATTCTGGCAGAATTTATTAAGTATTTATAGATTCATAGAGCATTTTTGGCTGGAAGAGACCTTTAAGATCATTGAGTCCAACCTTTTCCTAGCCCTATCAACACCACTAAATCGTGTCGCTCAACGCAACATCTACTCATTTCTTAAATACCTCCAGGGATTATGACTTAACCACCTCCCTGGGTAGTCTGTTCCAATGCCTGATAACTGTTCCAGTGAAGAAATTCTGAATATCCAACCTGAACCTCCCCTGGCACAGCTTCAGGCCACTTCCCCATGACCTATCAATCGCCACTAGGGAGAACAGACCAACTCCCACCTCACTACAACCTCCTTTCAGGTAGTTGTAGAGAGCAATAGGTCTCCCTTCAGTCTCCTCTTCTCCAGAAGAGTGCCAATCAATGTAAAGGAGACCCCAGTTTCTCAATAAATGATCACCACTACTTACTCTTTAAGAAACCATAATCCAACGAGAGAAGCAACTACCTGTGACCAAAGAAAACAGAGTTAATTTTTTTGGCTTGGCACATTATGTACTTTTTCTTAATTCTTTCACTAACTTTGTAAATGTTTTTAAAGAAAACATTATAAATGAATGGGAGTCAAACTTCTCTAAAACCAAAGCCTCATCATATCTGCTCCTCTTTCCATAGAAACCATTTAGTGCATCCCACCAGAAAAGCTACATTTAGATTCGTATTACAATCAGGCTCTCCAGTTACTAAATATTCTTTTATTGTTTTTTACTGTACTACTAACAAAGGTTTGCTAATGCATTACGATCGACAAAGAACAATTACTGTATGCTTTAACACATTTTAAGTTTTAAAACTTAATATTTTTAATGACCCTAAAGAAGAAGTCTCTCCATATCTTCAAAGGCAACTATTCAAATATTAATGTCAAACCTTTAACACTGTTATTTTTTCATTACTGTTCTTGCTAGCTGATGTGTACATTTCACTCATTTATTTGTTTGATATTACTTGGCTGCTAGTTTTAAATAATTCTCCACATAATCTATTTTAACATTTTTAAACGTGGAATTAAATATTTTTCATTGTAAGATGCATCAGTGCTCAAAAGAAGCTTCCTCTAACACAGTTTCTTGTCCATCCTTTACCTAGACCATCACATTTCAGTCTGCTCTATTTCTGCCTATGCACTTTTTTCTAACAGTGGAAACTGTTATGGCACTGATTTCAGACTAGATCTAAGCCCCAGGCTTTACTCCCGGTCTAATTTTCAGGCTTTATTCTTGGTCCAGAAGAACTAATTGAAATAATCTGCAAGATAATATTAGTGTAAATTCAGGATACCATCAATCATATCCTTCTCCAGGTGTGATGATACTGGAAGTTTGAATGTCATCACAGAACTGGTAAAATCCTTTCACTGACACAACAGGCCAAAAACTAGTCCTATATCCCTAATGGATTCTTTCCTTCTTTTAGTTAATGTTGAAAAATGCCAAGAGAAATTGGTACTGCATTTTATAAGTTAGCATATCACTCTCATTAATTTCCCAGTCTTCTTGCCGAAATACATTCCTTCCCTCAGAAAAGCACTTGGTTTAGGATATTAATTGTAAAAGAGGAAAGTATGAGATTCAGTATATAAGCAAAAAGTCTCTCCTAACTTGGGATACAAGACAAAAAGCAGGCAATTTCTGTTATAACAAAAATAGTCAGACTTGCATGATCAGGCAGATGTTCTTCAGCACCTTTTTCCAACAGTGCTTTCCATAGTACTTAAAAAAAGTCTCTGCCTGCTGCAGGAATACCCCAATCATCTTTAAATGCCATCACAGGTGTCCAGTACTCTTCCTTACTCACCACTCTTCTTTCACTAGGAGCAAAGCTACTAACTCACTTTTGAAAGCAATTCTCCAGAATATATGTATCAAAAAAAAATCCAGTAATTTTTGGTTTTAACTTCCCAAGGCTCTGCAAAGATATCTTTTAATGGAAAATGGAAGATTATTCACCTGTGTAGAAGAGAGTTGCAAAATGCAACAAATCTTATTAAGGTACTCTGCAGCAGAAGATAACCAAGATAAATTGAGACTGTGAGTCTTCTGCTGCCATGCACTGTCATTGGTTTGAGTCTGGTGGGGTTTTTGGAAAAAAAAAGAAAAAGGAGGGGTAGAGCTGTGTGGGATGGCTCATGTGAAGCTTTGAGAGCCTCCTCCAGGCCCAGCTAGGAGTTAGACCTGCCTCTGGCCAGGGGCAGACCACTCAGCACCTGTGCAATCAAGGTATTTAAGAGGTGACACTAATGTTCTCTTTCTCTTTTGGTTTCATCTTGTTTTTGAGCTGTCTTGTCTCTCATGTTGGGGAGATTTTCTGTTGGAGGAGAGGGAGGTGGGAGGAGAACAAAGAAACGTTGCCCTGAGAAGAAAGAGGAGGAGAAGAGTCCCAGAGGAGAAGGAGAGGGAGAGGGCTGCCGGAGCAGGAACTTCCCCTGGAGCCCGTGGTGGTTGAGATGGCAGGAAGGTGACTGCCTGCCAGTTGAGGGAATCGATGGCAGTGAGAATGTCCAGGATGCACCGGTACGTGCAGAGCACCATGCAACAGGGAAGAGAGACCGAGAATTAGCAAGGAACGTGGTCAAAGTGACTCATGGCCCCAGTGGACTCCCAAGGAGGAAGAGGATTGCCTACTGTGACGTGGACACCACGCAGCAGGAAGACTGTGAGGAGCCCTCTTTCTCAAGGAGAAGCTGCCATGGACACTGAGTAATGGCCGGATGGACTGCACCCCTCATCCCATGCCCCCCTTGCACTGATGGGGTGGCAGGAGGTAGCCAGGGAGATGGGAGGGGTGGGCAAAGAGTATTTAAGATCAGGATGTATTTAATGATGTATTCCTCTCACAATCCTACTTCATAAATGGTGGTGGTGAAGTAAATCTATGTTTTTCTCCCCAAGTCTCTCTGATTCTTTACTCATCATTTTAAATGGTAGATTTAAATGGTAGATTATTACCCTCCCTATCCTTAATCTCAACTCTTGAGTGTTTTTAGTTGAATTTTCTCCCCTACATCACTGTGGAAATGGGGGGGCGGGGAGGAGTGAGCTGGAGACTGCGTGGTTTTTTTTGTTCCTGACCCAGGCAGTCGGTTTGAACCATGACAATGGGCTAATCACTACCCTTGTAGTGAAATGTTCATCTAAACAGTAGAAAAGTCATTGCAATATCATTTAACAGTAGTTACCAATAAGTGAAACACACATGAGCTAATGTCTTGATGCTTTATCCATTTATCGTTTTATCACAAAGAACACAGCTTGAACAAACATCATTTCTAGTAACATATCAAGCACAAATTTTCTTACCTCAAATAAGAAGACGGTCACACACAGAATTAGAACAAAAATCAAGTTTTTGTGGGTGGTAATGTATCTGAAATAGGTATTCCATGTGGTAACAGTACCCATGCTCTCAGCATCATCAGTGAAGCATTCCTGTCAAAGAATTGATAAGACCACACTATCATGATTCGATAATAGTATTTACATATGAGAATTTCCGACACATGAATGTCGTCATTCTTTCTGCTAATTTACTCCAAATAATTGATCTGCAGATTTCAAATTGGCTGATAATGGCTGTAAAGGAAGGTTCTGACTGGTTGAGTCATCTTAGTTATAACAATACAGTTTAAAGATGATTTGACACTTTTTTTTTTACAGCAAAAGAAAAAATGGGCAGTGCTTCAGCAAATTATGAGTTTAAATACTTCTTGTAATCTTTTTTCCACCTAGGAAACTACTTCAGAAAATTTTCCTATGCTGTGAAAATCAGCTGTCAGTTTCGAAAATGTAAGTTGTTCATTATGATTAGCTGAACTATAAAAAAAAGGCATTTTTGTCCCATTCTTGGTATAAAATTCAACCTTAATTGCATAATTTCTAGCACAACCATAAAACCAGAGTAAAATCTGGCTTGCTCCTCAGTTCATTATCTGCACTGGTTTATAAGGGCTAAGCAGTCTGATAAATCTGTCGAACTAGATCAAACTCCAGTTAAAAACAGTGGTAGTGCTTCAAATATATTTTATTTTTAACATGATCCTTAACATTTCAAATGGAAATTTTACATATGTGTTTTAAAAAAAATTTTTTTCCATGCTGTGGTTCAAATTTCGTTTTAGCATATGTCATCTTAAAGGTAGATTAACATACAGGAGATTAAAATTCTGTACTGAAATTGTGTACAAATAGCATTCAGAAACTATAAAAAATCAGGCAAAATAAATTTTTGAAGATTTCAACCATCTTCAGCTGATATCAGAGTTAAAAAAAAAATCACAGATATTCCCAAAAGAAATTCCAGAGAAGTACTTCACTAGGAATGACATAGTCAAGTAGAAAAGTACATAAGGAGCACATTGCACTAAGGTATCAGCATAGCAAAAACCAAGATGAATGAAAATCCACACACACCTTCAAATCCTCTTCACTGATCTCATCAGTGATGTCCAAGACACTGTCTCGAGACAAACGCCTGGTGTAGATATCTATCATCTCAGAAGACAGGTTGGTTTGAGGCATCATAGACATCTTCCGAAATGTTGCGCTTCCCTTTTTGGAGAAGTTTGGGCCATAGCTCACAGAGGTGCCCGTCATCAGGCTCAGCACAGATTGCCTCCTCCGACCTTGCAGCATATGGTCAGTGTTTAGCATGTTACTTCGAAGTAGCCCTACATCTCCTTGTTCCAAGTCAGGTACCAGCGAGAGCCTCCTTTCCGGTGGGTCGTTGTGGCCATCTTCTATCCCGTTGACCTGCACCCCATTCCTCTGCACTACTGAGAACTTCCTACCCGCATTAAGGGGGTTAATAATAATGGAGTTCTTCCTTTTGTCGTTAAAATCTGATGTTTGCTTAAAAGATTGTTTCTTAATTTCATTTCGTGAACCCGTGCCTTCTCCTTCAATGGAAAATCGTCGGAGAGTCTCAGTTAGAATTGAATTTCTTCTCTCTGCACTGAACTGATCAAAAGAATCAAATCCCATTAACTCTGAGCTGAAGTCTGGCCGTTGACCCTGAAGTTCAGAAAATGTTCCATAGAAATAGCAGCTCCCCTCATGTAAAATTAATATTTTGTCAGCAATCTTTAAATGTTCCAGTTTTGAAGTAACCAAGATCCTAGTTTTATTCGCCATCAACTTGCACACACAACTACAGAAGATGAAAGTGTTAAAAAATTAGATTTTTCTCTTCATGATTAAATGTTGCTTCCATCCCTCTCACTTTCAAACTACTTGCTTTTACCTGCCCTCCCCCTGCCCCCCATCCTCCCAGTATGAATAGTCTTCAGTGTTCCCTCAAACTATAAAAGAGGTGGTAAGGCTGAGATATGTAAAAGGTGAGTACTTTATTGCAGGAACCAAAAAAATGGGGGAAAATGTAATCATTTTCAGGTGAATCTAAAAAGTACAGTTCAATGCAAAAATGAAATATTTCCTTTCACCTTAGGGTTACTTAAATCTTTCACTACCAAACTTAAAAGTATTAGCTCGATTTCAAAACTTCAAACTTAAGACAACTGAAAAGCTCATGGATGGCAATGAGTGCCTTGACTGTTTTGAGCTACCCTACCAAGACAAGACAAAAGTCTGTCTTTGGCCAATCTGCTGTCAATCTCTTGGTTAGTGGGCATTTTCAGGTGGCCAGTCTTTCAGTGATCAGAAAAACAAGACAAAATACAGCTTTTGGTAAAAATTTCTACTTAACAAAGCAAGCAGGTGTTTTAAAATGAAAGCCTCTCTGGTACACAGACACACCAGATGTAAAGCCATGAGCTCAGGGAGTAATAGATTATAGCAGGCTCAACGTGTTGTGATGAAAGAGGGAGCAGTAATGCTGCCTCCTGGCCCAGGCTTGTTCCCAGCACAGTACGCTGTCCTCCCGCTAACACAAAATACTCAGTCATGAGAATCCCTAAAAATAAACATCCTTGAAAGGTATAATTCCAATCACTTCAGTATTTTTGTACTGTTATTAAATCTCTGTTCTTGGTTTTACTTTGTGCTGCTTGGTGAGATTCTTAAATACAATCTATTAAAACACAGAGTACCTTTCAAATATCTCTTTTTCTGTAAAAATATCCAAATGTCCAAAAGGAGAATCCAGAAGATACAGATCAGCATCTTTGTACACTGCTCTGAACAGAGAAAATGGAAATGACATTACCTTTTACGAGTCTTATAAATTTTCATAAATGTAATTTAAAAGCAATACCTTTACAATTTTGTCTTAAAATGTTATAATTGATAGACTTTACTCCAGCATCAATATGGAGCTGCAGTTTAACATTAAATGTGCTTATAAGACACCTTTCAGAAAAGCCCTTCCTTGGTGCAGACTATATTATAGACTACCTAAGTTTTCCATTAATTTCTGTGCAGATGAAACCATAGAGCTGTCTTTTATACATGTTACTCTAAAGATCTGTTTATGGCCTGAATCTTACAGTTCCCACAAGTTCATTTAAATGAGCCTACTGCAATGTCTACCGGTACCTGAGTATTACTTAGATGTAAATAAGTGTGTGAAAAGACATAGGCCTCAAGGCTTACTTTTAAAAGTATTTTGAAATAACTGGTGAGCAAAGATAAGGGTATTAGTAAGTCAGGATCTTGCAAACATTATCTGAAATGGGACTGTACAATATCTTAAGTTCAGAACATGAAAATCTATTTGTAGCATAAAGATCTTAAGCTGCATGTGCTTGGCATGGCTCCCTGAGACCTAAACCTGAGGTTAACAGTTGTTGGTTTTTAAAAAAATCAGTTTCAATAGAAGTTCAAAAAGGTGCCTTACCTTCCTCTGTGAGTATGAAATATGAATCAAGATATAATTAGTAAAGAAAATTTGGACAGCTACCATTTGGGAATTTTTAAAGTAATCTAAAAATTAGTCTAAAAATTATGTTGAACAATGTGAAAATATTTAACCATCAGGAGAAAAAGTCCTCAATAATAGTAAATTATGTTAATAGATCGAGCAACTTTATTGAAAAATCCTCTGTCATGATGGATTTCGCTGACCGTACATTATGATATAGTGGCTGCACAATAACAAAAAGTTCATACTGTACTCGGCACTTTCATCAGCACAAAGTTTGCAGTTTTTTTCCTGGGATAATGGCAGCACTCAAATTATTGCTATAATTTGTATGTTGGACTTAGTAGCTGTACACAATTGGCTCTAGGGTACTGGACCAGTGACCTCGCACTGTTATTTTCCTTTGGTCCTTTCTTTCCCCCAGCTGTAGCTGCAGGCACCTTCAGTGCTCTGTGAGAAAGATGGACTCAGGCGATCTCCATCTGCTCCTCGT